GGGTGTGGGAGCCCAAGCACTTGGGCCATCCTCCGATGCTTTCTCAGGCGCACTAACAGGGAGCTGGATCAGAAGCAAAGCAGCTGAGACTCAAACCGGCACCCATATGGGATGCAGGCACTGTAGCTGGGGCTTTAACATGCTGCTCCACAGTGCTGGTCCCTTCCCTCTCCCTCCCCTCCCTCTCCCTACCCCCTTCTTTCTTCTTCTCTTTTTTAAAGATATATTTATTTATCTGAAAGGCAGAATTACATAGAGAGAGAGAGAGAGAGAGAGAGATCATCTATCCACTGGTTCATCCCCCGAATGACCTCAAGGACCAGGACTGGGCCAGGTGGAAGCCAGGAGTTCTTCTAGGTCTCCTATCTGGGTTCAGGAGCCAAAGCACTTGGGCCATCACCTGCTGCTTTCCAAGGAGCTCAGAAGAGTTGAAGACAGGAGGGCTGCCGGGGAAGAGGCTGCAATAATCCAGGTCAGAGGCGATGGCTTGGTGGAGGCGGTGGGGAAGAGCCTGGATGTATTTAGATGGTGCAGCCAGCAAGATTTCCTGATGCCCCCATCTCAGGGCTAGAAAAAGAAGGGTCAAAGAGCAGAGCCGAGGCTTTGGCCTAGCAGCCAATATTTCATGGTTCTGAACTCTGGAAGGCAATTTCCTGTATTTTGGCTTAACAGCTGCCACTTACTGAGATGGGGGAAAGCTATGTGAGGGGGTGGTTCCAGAGTTTATTTCTGGACGTGAGGGGATATCCCACAGGCAGCTGTGTGTATGTGTGTGTGTGTCTGAGCCTGCAGGGCAGGGGCGAGGGCCCCTATCAGGAATGTGCAGGAAGGCGTCCGTGTAGCTGGCGCTGGAAGCTGGGAGGCTGGGTGAAGTCACCCAGGGGTTACCTGGACACACAGAATAGCAGAGGCTCCCCCGGGACTGGGCATCACGGAGAGGAGAAGCAGGTGGCCTCCAATGACCAAGGAGATGCAGATGTGAGGGACCGATTCCTGTGCTCCCTCTTTGATGTCTGGCACTCTGTGTGTGTGTGTGTGTGTGGTGGGGCAGGGGAAGGGCAGGATAATACCACTTCAGAGGTTGCCATGCCTCCTGTCCGATCCAGGCAGGAGTGGTGCACGCACTATCATCCCATTTTCCAGATGAAGAAACAGAGGCACAAAGGTTCCGTGTCCAAGGCTACATCCACCAACAGGACTGGGCTAGCAAACGATGCGCACATTCCTGAGCTCCCTGGCTGCTTCACTGGGGACCTGCTGTGACTAGGTTACATGGCGATGGCTTGAAATGCGTTTTAAGCTGTATTTCCAAGGGAGCCAAGGAACTGCTGACCTGATTCTCGAGGGTCTGGGGCTGTGGGCCCACACACCGAGAGCACCAGAGCTTGGAAAGAAATGCCCTCCCCACGAGAAACCCCGGGCCACGGGATCAGGAGGCCGCGTGCAGCGGGGAGCGGGGGATTTTCACACCGGGGAGAAACAGCGATACATTCATTGCGGCTTCAGAGCCACCAAGGTTAGCGGGGGAACTGCAGAGGCACAGCAGTTTCTGGGATGGGCTCTTCCACCCCACCGACTCCCTCTTGGTAGTTTGCTCAAAGCGTTGCATTCTCTGCAAGCTTATTTCCTTGCCTGGGAGAAGCTGCTTCTGCCATCGGAGGCCCCATGGGTCAAGCGTGGCCCTGCCCTGGGCAGAGATAAACAGGCTCCTGTACACATTTCCCAGATTGCAACACTGGTGAGTCAGGCTGGCTCGCACAGCTGCGGGCTCACAGGCACCCCTGGGTTGCACCTGATAAGGAAGAACACGACTCATTCCAGCGCAGCGTCTTGTGAGTGCACACATATAAACAGACACTCCCTGGCCCCGTGTTGTCTTGGAGTGAATTAGTGACATTCCGAATGATTGAAACATCGGAAAAAGAGCTGACAGCAAACTTCTACTACAGCGGTGCTCCCGGTTGTTGGAATCCCAATTAAGTGGGACTAAGGCTGTCAGCTGGCTCTATGTTTTGTTTTGCTTTTAAGTTTTATTTGTTTGAGAGGCAGTGGTGGGGGAGGGGGAGAAAGAGAGACAGAGAGACAGAAGAGTGCGTCCATCTGATGGGTCATTCCCCTAATGGTTGCAACAGTGAGACTGGAACCAGGACAAGCACTTGAGGCATCTTCCACTGCCGCCCCTGGCACGTTAGCAGGGAGCTGGATCAGAAGCAGGCAGAGCAGCCGCCACTTTAACTGGAGCTCCAGTACAGGGTCCCAAGCGGCAGCTTAACCCACTGCGGCACAGTGCCAGCTCCCGGTAGCTCTAGCTCGGGGCTACCTCTTGAGCCTTCCTGGTCAAGGGCAAGTTCAGGCATCCTCTGCAGCTGTGGAAGGGAGAGGGGAGGAAGGCAGTGGAGGAGGCAGCACAGGGGAGGTGGATTTATGAAGGAACAAATGGTGAGAGCCCCAGAGAGAAAAGGAGCAAGCTGAGGCCACTACATCTTTGAAAGACCAAAAAGCACCGGGAAAAAAGCGGATGCCGCACAGTGTCCAGCGAGTGGGACAAACGGGAGGCTGACTTCAATAATCGCGCGATAATCCCACCACCAATAACATGTCGCACCTTGTAATCAACACTTGGCCTTCATTTCTAGTTTATAGTTCTCCCCATTCGCCCCACAAACCACTCAAGGGAGTAGTGCCGTAGAAGCCATGTTTTACATAGGAGAAGACTGAGTTACCCGAGGCATAATTAAGAGAGAGGTGGGGCAGGTTTGTCCCAAGGAACCCGGAGCTGAGATACCAAAGACACAGTCACTCTTGGCGTTGACTGCTGTTCAGTGACTGCCTGGAGGGCTCCATCTCCCATAGCATTTCTGGGTGCTTCAGCCCCACCTCCTCCAGTGCCCAGCACATTTCTAACACTAAATACTCCTCTACGTTTGACCCAGTATTTGGATCCCAGCAGCTACAGTGTTGGAGATTAGAGCACCGGGGAGGTTTCCCGGTCTCCTGCTCCGTGCCCTTGTTCCTCAAGCGTCCCTGCCGTAACCTGCTCTTTCAAGTCTGTTCTGTACTCCGCTCTGTGACTCCTCTAAGGTTCCCACTGTCCCTGACAGGCTGGGGAAAACCGGAGGGCACGCAGACCCTCCCTTACTTGAAGGACATCACAGGTGCACTTAACCCACCTGGAGCAGTCGGGCAGGTGTTGCCTCCTGGCATCCTCAACCTTTGGCCTGTATCAGAATCATATGGGGGGGAGGGGCTGGTTAAAGACCCGGATGTCCAGGTCCCATGCAGCCTTTCTCAATCAGAATTATCTCCCGGGGCTGGGGCCTGAACTCTCATGAGCTGTGCCAGCTGTGCAGGTGATTTTTGAAATACACCAAGCTTGAAAGCCACCAGGGGCATTGCAGGGAGCCCGGGTTAATTAGGTGACGGCGGCAGGGGTGTTTCGGGAGAGGAGACAGCTGCAGTAGGAGCTCAGAGAACCAAGCTGACACCGAATCAGGAGGACAAAACTCTGCTCTGGCTTTTCTCTCTCCTTAAGAGCGAGGTCAGATAGAGGGGGTCGGGACTCTCCATTCAGACATGTCCTCCTCCTAATAGATGTGCTGTGTGCCATAGGAGAGAGCCATGAACTCCCGTTGGAAGCAGTTAAAATAGCCCATGGTTCTCAGAACATAGAAGAGAGGTCACCCCCTGCAGAGCCGAGGGAATGGAGACTTATTATTTAATGGGTACACAGTTTCTGTTGGGGGTGATGAAAAAGTCCTGGAACTGGAGAGTAGCAATGGCTTCCAGCACGGTGAATCTATTTAATGCTTCCGAGTTACATACTGCAATGCTAAATTTTACGTTATATACATTTAGCAGTGAAAAAAAAAATAGCCAGGCCTTTTGAGGGATGGAACTGTAGGAGCAGACAATATTCAACTTCACCGATGGCTGCTGGCCCAGGTGCACGCGTTGTGTGTAGGCAGTTACGGAAGCGGACACAGCTCCCAGCACAGGGGCTGACAAAGTACAAGTGGATTCACAGGAGCAAGGGGACAGCTGGAAACTTCAGGAAAGCTGACATGGATATGGGCGATGCCTGGAACCCTGTCTCCTGCCCTCTTTGTCTCTCCAGCTTCACTGTGCACAGGGATCACCTGGGGAGCTTGTTAAGCTGCACCTCCTAATTTCATAGGTTTGAGGGGAAGCTCACGTCTGCATTTCTAACAAGTTCCCAGGTGACGTTCATGCCGTAGCTCACACAGACTGGGAGGGCTGTGCGCGTTTAGCCTTGTTTAGTTCCTCACAATAGCCTCGTGACCCCCAAAGTGAGAGCCCCCAGGAGGGGCTTAATTATTATTATTTATTGATACCGAGGCAGTGTATGAGGTGCGTGCAGGCGTTTGAAGGATGGGAGAATCTTTGCCGTGAACTCTAGCATATTCGAGCCGTCCCAGCTTCTAGGGGTCGCTCACCTTGTGATCTCAAATTCTGTAGAATAAGGGTGTTAGTTCTAAGTTGTTTCTGGCCTTACCACCTTGCTGCCTCCACTCTGATCCTTGAAATCGTGGCCTTGAACACATGAAAGGTAATGGCCCTGATTTGCAAACTGCGGGGAAGCCTCGCTCTCCTCTGCAATCCTGCAAATTCTCTTCACCTGAGGAGGGCAGGGGCTTTCCAGATCTGGGCGTCTGTCTGAATAATTGCCACTTTGGCCTCCCCCAAATCAAATAAACAGCCTTTGAAGCCGACTGTGTGCGAAGGCAGTTCATTCCCTAAAACACACGCGGGTGTCATAACGTTGCCATTATTTACTATGAACGTCTAGGACGACGGTAACACATTGGCGGTTGAGCGACAAAGTGTGTGGGGAAGGTTGGGGGGAGGGGACAGAGGGCGGAGAGGGCAGGAGAAAGAGGAACTACATCTCCCAGAAGTCCCCGGGAAAGCCCACGGCGCGGCGGCGCCCCACCCCTCTCGCCGCCCGGGCCCGCCCCTCGGATGACGTCACAGAGGTGACGTCACGGCGTCCAGAGCGAGGCTGGGGTAGAGAGGCCGACCGAGCAGAAGTCGTCCGCCTGTCGTGGAGGCTGCCAGGAGTCGGCGAGGGGTGCGCGGGCGAGCGGCGATCGGGCGAGCGAGCTAGAGCGGGCCGGAGGGAGCGTGGCGCGGCGGGGCGCCGGGGCGGCCCCACAGCCGGAGAGAGCGGCGGAGCCGGGCGCCGCGGGGTCCCCACCCCCACTCGGCCGAACCGGGCCGGTGTTCCCCCGTGCGGGGGGCGGCGGCGGCGGCTGACGGGACCCGACGGGACCCGACGGGATCGGGGGTGTTGCCACCTCCGCCGAGGAGCCGGCGCGGCCGCGGGCTCCTCAGAGCCGGGGCCGGGCCCTTGACAGACGGGGCCGAGGACCGGAGAGAGGCAGCGGCGGCGCAGGCGACGGGGAGGCGGCGGCGACACCATGTCATCCCCCAGTCCCGGCAAGAGGCGGATGGACACGGACGTGGTCAAGCTGTATCCTTCGAGGCGGGGGATCGTGGCTGTGGTGGGGGGGCCGGCGTGGGGACCCCTGAGGCTCGGCCGAGGGCCCCGGGGCACCCCAGGCCACTGCCCCCTCCTCCCGCGGCGCCCACGGCGGCTCCCGGCACCTCCCAGGAAGCGAGGGCCTGTTCAGCTCCCCTTTATCTGCAGCACCCCACAATATGCGTAGCTCCTGCTCTTCCTGCAGCCCCCCCCCCGCGCCCCTCCAGCGCCCGTGACTTTTCTTTGGGGCTCCCAATACGGCCTCTTTTTTTTTTTTTTTTTTCTTCCCCCAGGACCAGCCGCCTCACACTGTCTACCGCTGGGCCCACCGTCAGGGTCTCTCTTTCCTGTTTGTTCGCTCTGTATTTCGGGACTCCAGGCAGACATTTCCCGAGAGGGAGGCCTTTCTCCCTGTAGATGCCCCCATTCCCTGCTCTCACAATGCCTCTTGAACTGGGGTAACTCCAGCGACCTTCTTTATCCCTAATTCCTTTCTATATTAGGAAGAGAGTAGTCGGCGCAGGGCCCCCTTTGCTAATAAAGAGCTCGGTGTGTTTTTTAAATGAGGGACTCCTGGTGCGGTGGCTGGTCCTGGCAGGACCCTCCTGACAAAGCCTATCCCACCCGTGCTCGCGTGCTGTGAGGACCCCCGGGCCCTGCGGCCAGCCTCCCTCCATGTTGTGGCTGTGACAGCTGGGGGCAGGGAGAGCAGGCCTCCCTAGGAGACAGCCCCCCGAGAACCACCCACCCAAGCAGAACTCCCCGCGTGAGGCTAAGGTTCCTGGGGAGTACTCGCCCTGCCCCCGCCCCAACTTTATTCTCCCTGGAGGTTGCAGTGGGGGGAGCCCCCCACCCCCCCAGCAGGCAAGGGTTCTGGTTGGAGTCCAGGCTGATTATTTCATGACCAGCTAGAGAAATTCGCGAAAGTTCCTGTGACAAATCAAGGAATCGCTTTGGAGGGGATGAGTTAGAGATTGAGGGGGGCCCTCGTGTGGGGAACAACTAAGCCCTGGGGAGGGGGGTTTAGGGGGTAGGGTGTGAAAGGCTGTTTAAGAAAAAAAAGTGTCTCCTGTTTGTCTTTGGCCCTCACCCCATCCCCCCCATTGCCCCCTGTTGCAGGGTTTTGTTTATATAACTCAGGTTGCCGGGCCAGATTCTTCAGGTGAATTCTTCCTGGCTTTTATTTGTTGCCATTTCCGATCGACTGTTTTACTTCTTTGTAGGGATAGATGATGGTCAAACACTCAGTGATGGGATCTGCAGAAGTTTTTAAAAGTAGTTTTTGCATATGGTTTGGAGGTGGGGGATGGGAGGGAAGTTGCCTGGGCAAGAGATTATTACTTTTTTTTTTTTTTTTAAATAATCTTTTTGTTAATAAGATGTTTTTCTCCTCACCCAGGGAAGACTTGGCTAGGAATTAGGAACAGTAGGTGAACTTCTGAGTTTAGGGTTTGGAGTTTTAAGATTTTGGGGGGTGGGCGTAGGGATTAGACACAAGCAAGTGATAGAGTATAATGTGCAAATAACACATGGCTAGGCACAAGTGAAATCAACTGTGAGGTGTTTATGGCTGGGATTGTTTTGTCAATATGTGAATGATACCAGTAATATTGGAGTTTTATAAGGTTGTAACTATGACTGTGGGTGTATTTTAGACAAAGCAGTTTTGGGTTTTATTTTTGTTTAGAAACTAGGAAATGACATGGTGGTAGAAATGAGTTATTTTTACCTTGAATTGAGAGTTACTGTCACACCTAATGCAAATTTCTACTTAATGTGTGATTGGGATGGGGGGGCAGAGAATTCCAGCTGTTTGTGATCGATGTCAGATTATGTACGTACATAAATTTTTAACAGATTGAGGAAAAGAGTGAGGCCTAACTTGACCTGATGCCTTTTCCATACGGTGCCTTTTGTTCATTGAGTAGTTGTGGCATCTAGAATGATTACGGCATTTAGGAGTGGGGCGGGGAGGGGGGACAGAGGGAGAAGAAAACAGACAAAGAACAGCAGGGTGTCTTTTTTTTTTCTTTTCCCCTAAGTGGCTTATTTCATAGCTTATTTTTAGTAGAAGATGAAGAAAGGCAAAGATGCTCTGGCCTTCTGTTCCTTCCCCACCTTCCTCCTTTCTGACAAAAGAAAGCAGGGGCGGCTTTAAAATCGCGGGTCTCGTAGATGGCAGATAGCGGGGAGGCCGGAGGTCAGCTTTGTGTGTGTGATTTTCTGATCTCGCATAGCTTGGAAGTTAAAATTTTCGGGTGTGTGTGTGTGTGTGTGGTAGGGGTGAGGGATTTTGTGGCCTCCTTTTCCCTGTTGAATTTGCCTCAGTAGGCCCAAAGGGAGCCAATAATTCTTTTTTTTTTTTTTTTTTTTTTTTGAGTACAAGGTATATTTAGCAAAAACAGTTCAGGAGAATTCCCCAACCCACTACTAAAACGTGTGCAATTGTGTGAAAGGGCCGGGGGTTGAAAATGAAAGATGGTTGAGAGGAAGTAGAAAGAAAAGGTTTGCAGGAATGTGCAATGCCTCCTGCCCCTCATTGCTCCTGGATGGTTTCCTTGGTGTGAAGGCTGATAGCTGGCTTCATTGCAGTCTCCTCTTTCAGCCCATTTTTGGGTGTCTCCTGAGCGCAATTACACCACCAGGATTTACAGCCTGGCAAGGGAGCCTACAGAGTAGGGAAGAAGCCGTGTGGGGGTAGCGAGCGAAGAGGCTGTGTAACTAATTGGCCACTGCCTCCCACCACCTTGCCAGGTTCATGGGAGAGACTGGCTCTGGTTGTTTGGAGTCAACGATACTTCTTTTGTGATGGGTTGGTTGGAGGAGAGCTGACTCCCAAGTTATGCAGGGAGTGAGTGTTTTGCACCAATGCATTTAATCTGCTGGGCGATTATGTTCTGAAACTCTGACTCATTCATTGTTTCTCTCCTGATCCTCTGCTAAGGGTTGTGCAAACCTCCCCAGGAGCCTAGAAACTGATTTTCATGACTTTTGGGTGCTGTAAGAATCTCTCCTCCCAACAAAAACAGTAAAAGAGACTAAAGGCACAACTAAAAACTTGCAACTTGCAGTTAGCCTGAGTCTTGTGGAATGGTCTGGAATAGCGCTGCCATTTGTTTGCGAAGTCAGGTAGTGGGTGATCCCGTGCTGCTCTCAGCTTGGCAGCCTCTGAGGTTTCCATCTGCAACTGGCTGATTATTTAGATTGTCTGAGAACTGGGGCTCTAGTGACCTTAAAGCGTGATTTGCCCTAAAGGAATATCGGTTTAAGTTCTCCCTGGTGGAGGAACAAACAGCTCAGATTACACGGGTTTCCTTGTTGGTGGGGGTGACGCGTCTCACCCTGTTGCACCGAGCTGGTGATCCTTTTATCTGTGAACCAGTGGCCCCTGCTGAAGGCTAGAGCTGCTTGTTTTGGAAAAGCTATGCAGGCAAAAGGCCGCAGGCAGAGCTCCTCACTGCTCATTGGCCGCTCTGTTACTACCCGGAAAAGGAGGAGGGGTGGAGCTACGGAACAGCTGATGGAGTGTGTGACAAGAGAGTGTGTTTACATACAAAAGAGCTGGGGGCTGGGGAGACCTGGGCCGCGGCCTTAGGGGACCTAGTGTATTTTCAGGGGGTGAAAGGAGAGGAAACCCTGACCTGTTCAAGTAGAAGAAATGTGCAGAAAAATTAAATCAGCTCAGCAGAGTGGATCTCATAATAGTGGTGACTTGGCATACACCATGTTTGTTACTGAAGTTAAGAGTTGGGAACTCAGAATACAGAGAATTTTCACACAGCAGGGTCAGTCTCCTTCACTGGTTCTCATGCAGGAATTCAAAATTAGGGTAGAAATGTTAAGATTCCTTAAAAAGCTTCAAGAGTGATAGAGCTTTGAAGGTCGTTGTCTTACAACTACATTCATTACCAGCAGGAGTGAGTGTTTAGGGTTTTGGAGAGCTTTCTATAGCAGGTTCAGACTGTCAGGTGTTTGAGTCACCCATTTTGTGTGCCAGGCGTGCTGGTGGCAGTTTAGGAGTGAGAAGTCCAGTGTGAGTGGTCATGGGGCTTTGGTAGTTAGAAAGAAGAAATGGTTTTTCAGGCTGAGAAGTGAGGCTGTGTTTCTGTCGGGTCAGCACTACGCCAGAATGTGTCACCTTGCTTTTTGAGTAACATGTATTTTCAGTTGACTTCTTAAAGAATAGAAAGGTTAAAAAGTGAATTTCTGTGATGAGGTGTATAGAGGGATCTGTACTCTTGTATTTAAATGATATTTTTAAAACATTAAAATGTGTGGCCATTAGTCTTTGACTTCAGCTTTGGTATTTTGCTGTTAATCAGTAGTTGTTCTGTCCCTCATCTAGTAGTCTTTGTTACTCTTTAATTTGTGTGCACAGCGTAAATGATTCTAGGATCTTTTAACTTGCTCCAGTGTCAGTTGGGAACCTAGGATTTGCCTTTTATTTTCTGTGGCCTCTGTTTTAATGAGTTGATGAGAGGGAGGTTGGGACAGTTTCGTGGTCTTCAAGCTGAAAGTTAAAGATTTGGCAACTCCCAGTGTTCTGAATTTGCCTTCCCTGCCTAGATTTTGGTGACAAATATAGCATGCTGATACTTTGGTTAAGCAAGAACCTGTATGAGTTCACAGCTTTAGAACATCTGATTTCTTCAGTGCACTTCTAGTAAATTATACACAAGCCTAAAAATTCATCTTTTAGGGGGAAAAATTTTTGCAGATGTAACCCATAAAAGTTTCCTTCCCCTGTTGGTGTGCGTGTGTTGGAACAGCCTAGATTGTTTTGTTTTTGTAGTGTTGCTATCTTCCCAGCACTGTGTGTGTGTGTGTGTGTTTTAAATTTGGAATCTTGTTCAGTCTTAGCAGATTGGATGGTCTTAAGAGTCACTGGAATTCTAGGCATGCAATTCAGACCTTAGATTACAGTGCTTACAAAAGCTTTATGCCTGTGGACTCCAGAGTGTACATTTAATAAAATAATGAAAAAAATTTTT